CTCTAAGCAGCTCTCCTGGGCTGGATTCTGCGGAGTCCCTCTGGTATGTGTCACTCCGTCGCCATCTTCCCGGAAGCAAAAGATGACCTCGCAGGACACTCACGCTGCACTTTCTCGTGCCTTGAGTTTCATATGACTTAACTATATCTAGAAGTTTAATCATGATTTCTCATTGTTTTTAACTCTTGAAAATATCTATAACATAAACTGCTAATGTAGGCACTTCAGAGTACATTTCAGCAAGCATTCAATTTGTTAACAATGTGACGTAGCCACATCTGGAACCAAAATATTTTCAGCACCACAAGAAAGCCCAGACTTTTAATAAGTCACTTCCCAATCCCAATTCCCTGGAAGCCAGTTCTCTACTCTCATCTCTCTACTCTGATGTTTTTAGTTAATGCAATTGTACATGTTTATTGAAAGAGGTTTTTAGTTTGGAGCAAATAATCTGTTCATGAATTCATTTTTATTTATTTTTTCTATATTGTAGAAGGAAATGCTTTATACCTCATTCTTTCAAGTGAATTGCCCAGTTGTCTTAAAAATGGTTATTGCATAAAACCCAACAATTCCTCTACTGTCTAAATAACCCAAAGAAATAAGAATCAGTACACAAACTGTCCTATTCTTGTTGTTTGGTGCCAAGGCATCAGCTCCGACTCATTGGGATGCTATGCATAACAAAATGAAGCACTACACGATCCTACACCAGGTTCACAGTTGTTCCTATGCCTGTGCCCATTGATGCAGCCACTGTGTCAATCCATCTTGTTGTGGGCCTTCCTTTGTTGTTGCCACCCCTCCACTTTACCAAACATGATGTCTTTCTTTAGGGACTGGTCCCTCCTGACAATATATCCAAAGTATATAAGATGATGTCTTGCCATACTTGCCACCAAGGAGCACTCTGGCCTTAATTCTTCCAAGACAGAGTGGTTTGTCCTTTTAGCAGTCCAGTGGAATTTCAATAATCTTCTCCAGGACCATAATTCACATGTATCTAGTCTTGACAGTCTTCCTTTTCAGGGTTCATGTATCACAAAATGGGCATATAACCCAAAGAACTAAAAAGGAGAGCACAATCAGACATATGTTCTTCCATGTTCATTACATTGCAGTTCAGAATAGCAAGAAAATCGAAACAAGTCCAAATGCCCATCAGTAGAAGAATGGATAAAAAGACACTGGTATACACACAGTGGACTATTAGCACATCCCTAGAGTATATACTTGAAACACCATTCTTCTTAATGAAGTTAGCCAATCACAAAAGGACAAATATTATATGTGTCTACTACTATAAGATAAACACCCAAATAAAGGTAGACCATAGCTTCCAAGGCATGTATTCTTCTAATCCAGTCCCCTAACCAGTGAGGTAGAGAGCCTACCTAGCATTCATGATATATTTATCACCCCCTCTAAATATATATCTTAAAAACCACTCTAAAAGAGGAGACCCCACCTCAGCTGAGGTCAATTTTTCAAGATGTGGGAAGAGGGAGAAGAAGATCATTCAGTTACTCCCACACAAAATTGGACAAGATCATTCAGTTACTCCCACACCAATCTAACAGATACTCCCACCAGAGTAATAAGGAAACCTTACTAGAAATCCAAGTCAATGGGGGATGTATGTCTCAGAGAAGGCAATTACCTCTCTGTTGGTAGGAAAATGGGAAGGAAAGGCCTCCAAATTGGGAGGGGAGGGGGGAGAAGGGGAGGAACACTTAACAATACTTATGTGAAACCCAATGGGAGAATATACCTGGAAATAGGATCCTAATTGAGCATTGTAACCTGGTTTCTATGTAGCACTCTGTGACCCAGTCTGTGCACTATAGACTACGAGGGTTTAGACTCTGTTGATTCAAGGTGCACAACATCCTTCATGGGCCACACCAGATGGACGCAATATAGAAAGTCCACTAAGTGCCTGGGCTTTCTCAAACTTACCTGTAGCCATTGAACTTAAAACTA